AGGCAGTGCCGAGGCTCGTGGCGTACTGGTCGACTTTCTCACGCGCGGATACCGGCGGTAAGTACGCGACAAAACCTCCACCTCCTCAACAAAAATACGACTGGCCTCAGGTCGCAAAGTCATCCTGGAGGATGGCGTGATCAAGGACTGCAGACCCGTCAACTACGACGAAGACGACGCTATGGATTTCATGTGCTGCAACTGGCCCCTGGAGGACTGTGAGCACGGCCCGATGTACGAGCTCGAGGAGGAAGGCGATCTCCCCGTCTGAAACTTGTGGTGTCAGTAAATTCGATTGCAATCGAATATGATTCGCCTGCTCTTCTATCGCTATCTCTCTCTCACGCTCGTTGCTGCAGCCATTATTGTACTTCCTACGGTCGATATGGCAAGACGCGAGGGAGATTAGAGAGAGGAGGAGGAGGAGGAGGAGGAGGAGGAGGAGGAGGAGGAGGAGGAGGAGGAGGAGGAGGAGGAGGAGGAGGAGGAGGAGGAGGAGGAGTTTTTTTTCCTCCCCGCAAGGCCCGTTGCGAGCCCCGTCCGTCCGTGTGCAGGGTTTGGGGCGTCACCAGGGGCACCCGCACGGGGCGCCCACCTGGCCGTGCCGACCCCCAAAAGGGCCAAACCACCGAAGCACCCTCCCCTGAGCCCTGTCTGCGGAGGTGTGCAGCATCACCAGGGGCGCCCCCGCGAGGCAGCCACCTGGCCGTGCCGACCCGTAAAAGGGCCAGACCACCGAAGCCACTCCCTCCCTAGCACAGCACAAGGCGAGCGAGCGCACTCGGACGATGACCAGGTACATCACGTATCCAGCAACTGCACCAGCTCCGTGCACTCAATGAAGCCATACTCGAGAGCCCCTGTGCGTCCGAACCATGAGGTGGTGCTGCAGCCTGCCGAATCCGTGCCCGAGAACCTCGAAGTCCGTCTGCGCTGTCATGATCGACGCGGCCCCCGCCGAGCGCACTCATCGAGATTCGCGCCCGTCGACGACTCGAATCCTGCAGCCAGTGGGGAAGGCCAAGGTGAACGGCAGAGGCCCGATGCCAGTGACGAAGTCCCCCTCTGCAAACTTCCACGGCTCGGGGTCCACGAGCGTGACGAAGCCCACCTCGCCCGCAGTTGTCGCGATAGGTTCACGCAGTCCTTGCCGTAGCCGTCCTTGTCGTAGCCGTACAAGTTGAAGGCCTTGGAGTCGAAGCCGCGCTTGTTGAAGCCGTTCTTGTCGAAGCCGTCCTTGTCGAAGCCGTGCCTGTGCGTAGCCGTGGCAGTCGAAGCCGCGCCTGTTGTAGCCGCTGGATTCAAGGCCGTCTTTGTTGTAGCCCCTGGAGTCGTAGCCGTGCTCGTTGTAGCCGCTGTGGTCAAAGCCGTTGGCGTCGTAGCCGCTCTTGTCGTAGCCGCGAGAGTCGTAGCCGTCCTGGTCGTAGCCGCTCCTGTCGAAGCCGTGCAGGTTGAAGCCGCTCGTGTTGTAGCCGTCCTCGTCGTAGCCAAGCCTGTCGAAACCGCGCAAGTTGTAGCCGCTGCTGTCGTAGCCGTTCTGGTCAAAGCCGTGGGAGTCGTAGCCGCTCCTGTCGTAGCCGTTGTGGTCGTAGCCGTCTCTGTCGTAGCCGCCCCTGTCGTAGCCGTTGTGGTCGACGCCGTCCTTGTCGTAGCCGTTGTGGTTGCAGCCGTCCCTGTCGTAGCCGTTTCTGTCGTAGCCGTGGTGGTCGAAGCCTTCTTTGTCGTAGCCGTCCCTGTCGCAACCGCTCTTGTCGAATCCGTCCGCGTCAATGCCGGAAGGAAAGGCCGCCTCGAAGGGCAGCGGCCCGCAGCCTGGCCAGAAGTCTTCAACTGCAGAGATCAAGGGTTCTGGCAATATGTAGTTCACATAGTGAATAGTCACTGGAAGATGCAATTCTGGAAAAGCAGGAATCGACGGCAACGCTGACAACTTTGGCAATGCCAGTGGCGAAGCATCTCTCGAAGAAGTGTGCCGCCTAGGCACCTTTGCAGGAGGGCCAGAAAAAAAAACCGTCGCGGAAGCCGAGGGAGCAGCAGCCTCCGAACTTCCCGCGGCATCAGGAACAGGCCGCGGTCCACGCCCACGCCTTCGCGAAGAAAAGGTCAGCATCATCACCACCATCTGAGTCATCGCTGTCGCCAGGCCCTGGGCCACCAGGAGCAGAATGAGCACGCCGAAGGTGGAGAGGCCGAAAATTAAAGCTGATGTGAGAGGATCCCGAAGAGTGACGATGGCCATGGTCGACAACCACATAAGAATCAACATGATATATTGCATCCCAGACTACCTGCATAGCGAGCTCGTTCAGAGCAGTAGGATGGCCAGGAACCCGCTGGTGAAAGACGATGTGCATGTTCATCCCACTTACTGAAGACGTCACGGCCACGCGAGCGGGTCGCCCAGACTGCAACTGCTCATAAACCCACCACAATCGAGAAACCACCACCATGCGCGAGCGCCGAGAGGCAGCAGCAGCAGCAGCCGCTGCAGGTGCAGCGGAAGAGGCCCGTGACCCCAGCAAATGCTAGAGCCCAAATGGCTAGGAGGAGGAGGAGGAGGAGGAGGAGGAGGAGGAGGAGGAGGAGGACGGAGGAGGAGGAGGCGGAGGAGGAGGGGAAGAGGACGGCGGCGGGGGGGCCGGGGGTCGGAAACCTCGGGGGGGGGGGGGGGGCAGGCTGCGAAAAAAAACACCCCGTCGGAGGTGGGGGTCGCGCTAGCGGCCCCGCCGCGGCCCTCGAAGCCGAAGCTCCCGCTTGCCGACGGGTCGACTCCGCGTCGGCCCGACGGGCCTGAATCGGGCGATATATCAGCAGGCTGTCCAGGGGGCCACAGGTCGGCCGAGCTTCTCTCGGGGGCTGGCAGTCGGCGAGGGGCGCTGGCGGAGGATGGAGGGCGGAAGACGACGGGTAGACGCCCCCAGGTGGGGTCAAATTGGATTCGGAAGATGCCGCCGCATCGTCGACCCATGGGCGATACGTCGGCGACGTCGGCGATGCACCAGCGACGTCGGCGTGGAGAAAGCCGGGCTCCACATCGAGCCACATCGCCGATGCATCGGCGATGCAGCGCGATCCTCCGACCCCATCTACTCCGACCTCATCTGGATGCCCAGAGACGACAGTACTATGTGTACCACAGGAGGGACGACGGGGGAAGAGTCAGTTTCCATGAAGTACACGCTTGGCTCCTAGGCTACGACTTTCTGGTAGGATCAGATGCCTTGGCTGATGCTGCACGGTGATCTAAGACGGCAGAGACATTCTCACGTGGTACACATGGGAGGAGGGAGGGCGAAGGACGACGGGGGCTGCAGGAACGACGCACGGTCAGACAAGGACGAGGGCCGGTTGGGTGCGACGCACGGCTCTGGCCTGTCTGGCCTCCGGTGCGGCCGCTTCGCGGCGAGCGGCCGCCCTCAGGACGGCTGCGCACGGGCGAGGCCTCACTGGGCAAGCGGGCGTGTGCTCGGGTGCTCGGCCGCCCCAATGCGACGGCCTCGCGGCAGACGGCCAGACGCCGCCGTTCGCGGGCGGGCGAAGAAGAGCAGTCTGGCAAGGATGGATGGCACATCGTTTCTGCATCTTCGCCTCTTCGGGGGACCTCGACTATCCCATCGCGCCACCTATCCGTGTCCAATCCGCGTCGAGTCCATATCGACCACGTAGAGTCTGTATCAGATCCGCGTCGAATTCACACCAATTCCGCGTCGACTCCACATCGCGCCCGCGTCGGACACAAAGGCACCAAATTCAGGGACAAACGAGGTCCCCCGAAGATGCACCGCAAAGATCGAAGTCCGGAGGCTTGAGCTCCTTAACGAACAAGTCGAAAGACGATTCAGATGGGACTTAGAAAGCCCTGAGCCAAAAGTAGACGTCGGCACTAGGACGGCGAAGACGGAGAAGGGAAGAGTTTGACGCTCTGGGGGCGATTCTGGGCCTCCTGGGCCACCCTCTCGCGGCATCTCGTGGCCATGGCTGGACGCAGCTCGGAAATTGGTCCGGATGGCGTTCGGGAGGAGAGGCGCTGCGCGAAGGGCCCAAGGACTCACACCTCCAGGCATGGTAAGGGATCACAAGAAGCGGTTCCTCACTATCTGGGCCTCCGTGAGCACGATCTCGGGCCCGAAGGAGGAAAATCAGAAGCGACCCACGAGAACTCCGAGGCCCACATCGTGAACAAAGACACGACTGCCAAGATCTGGGGAGGAGAGCGAGGGCGCGGATGCTTTCGGGGGTCCCGCGCCGATTCTCCCAGGCGCTTTCGATAACGGGAGAGGGAGGCAGGAAGGAGGAGAGCCTGGTCCCTCTGGGAATACGCAGTGCCGACCCCGCCCGGGCAGTCCCCGCCACCGACCCCCTCCGCTCCCCCACCTTCCGTCGGGCACACGCGAACGAACTGTGGGTCTGGCGCGTGGGCGCCAGATCCACGGATCGGGGCGAAACATGAAGCCAGCGCAGCCTGATTCGGCCATGGGACGCGTCGAATACGCATGGGAACAGGACCCGTCGCCAATCCACGCGTCGTGAACAAATGTAATCTCTTCCTCGACACCTACCTCCCATCCCCCTCCCCCGTCACCATCCCCCCCCCCTCGGGGCTTGCCACCCTGGCACCTCGCTGGAAAATGTGCGCGGGAGATTGAGGAACCGTGCAGGAACACGCACGTGTCCAAGTCACCTACAACAAGAAGGACGGGCACCCTCATGCCAACTCTGTTGTGGGAGATCCTTTCGACCGAGCGATGCAACTCGATGCTGCAACGCGAGTGCGTGCATATGTGGCGAGGTGGTCTCCGTAATCTTGCACTCGGAAAGTCGGCTTCAAAACGAGTCTCCACGAGCAGACGGTCCCCAATGAGCGTCTAGGATATAGTGTCCACCGCATCAATATATACACCTGTATATATACATATACAAATCTATTAATACAATTGCACTATTGTGTGCGGGCCCTGGCCCGAAACAGAAAGCATAGTGTATAATGGCTTGAATGAACGTCACTGGACCAACCCGCTCAGCGCGCAGACCGAGCCAGCCACGAGGAAGCACACCGCGGAGAGCCCGTGCAAACTGGCTCCGTCGATCACGTCGACGGGCGCCGGTGTGGGCATGACCGTCGGGGACGACGTGGGGACGGGTGTGGGACCCACAGCTGCCCCGGTTGGGCTGGGAGTCGGGGGAGCGTACGGATGGCAGGCGCAGCACATCGCCATGGAGCTGAAGTCGTCGTCGTCGAACTCGCCGCAGAAGTGCACCGGGTCCATACCGTAGACGGAGCAGTTGTCCCCAGTGCTGTCTTTCTCGGTGAGGTCGGTGTCGATGCATCCAGGATCGGGAGGAAGTATGGGTTCCTCAGTGGCGGCTGTCCAGTCTGGCGCCGCGTCGTCGCCACCTCCACAGGCGCAGCACAGATCGCTAGACCTGAAATCGGCATCGTCGTACAGCCCGCAGAAGTGCGGGTTGCGCTGGTACGTATCACAGCCATCTTCGAATGGGTCTTTCAGGCCAACGTCTACGTTGTAGCATAATGGGTACACCTGCACCTCATCTGGCGCGGTGATCGTAAAGCCCGCTGCTACCATCGTCAGCCCTGAATTAGCGAAGTTCTGGGCGAGGTCAGTGCGGGTGCCTTCCACGTTTACGGCGAGCTGCTGGGCAATCCCAAGGTGGTAAGATGCTTCCGAGTCGCTCGTCAAAAAAAGCTCGTACTCCACATGCCACTGGGAGATGGTGCGGCCGCCAGAAACAGTGGCGGTAACGCTGACGTCGGAAACGTTGTGCTTACAGGCTACGAAAGAAGAAACCGAAGACTCCACGTCATCTGAAGTGCCGTTGCTCTGGAAAGTCATCTCTACACGCACCCCGTACTTCAGCGTCTTTGTGGTCGCTGTGAGAGTAGTGCTAGTCCATGTCGCTGGCGGTGAGGGTGTCGGTGCAGGTCCAGCTGGCGGAGACGGTGTCGGTGCAACGGTCGGCGAGGCGGTCGGAGAAGGAGTCGGCGAGCTGGTCGGCACGGGAGTCGGCGCGCTGGTCGGTGCAGGTCCGCCCGGCGGGGACGGCGGCGTCGGTGCAGCGGTCGGCGAGGCGGTCGGTGCAGCTGTCGGTGCAACTGTCGGTGCAGCTGTCGGTGCGGGAGTTGGCGAACCGGTCGGTGCATGAGTCGGCGAGCTAGTCGGTGCTGGAGTCGGTGCGGTGGTCGGCGATCCAGTCGGTACGGCAGTCGGTGCGGTGGTCGGTGAAGGCGTTGGCTGCGGCGCGGCAGTCGCTGGGGTGGGAGGGGCGGGAGTTGGCGTGCAGAAGGTTGAAAGCCGACGCTTCGGCGAGTCGGCGCACGTTCCGTCGTAGCAATACTTGTTGATGCCACACTCGTTCCCGAAAGGGCTGGCGGCCGCATCGCACTGGCACGGCACACGAACCTTCCAGGTACCGTCTGGATCGTCACGGCATGGGCAAATCTTGCCGCGGCCGTGGCAGTGCATGGTGTACGCGTTGTAGCCCTCGCTGGCGTTCTTGTACACCAGGTGGTGTCCAGATATCTCAGAAGAATAAAGTTGGCAACTGCCAGTCCCTTCAACGAAGACGAACGTGTGGCAGCCAGGGTCTGTTTTGCACGTCTTGTAACAAGTGCTTGAGGTGTGTCCGCTATCTGCGCTGCGCTCACGGGCGGGGACAGTCAGCTTGGCGATGCCCACGTCAGCGTTCTCGAAGCGCTCGGCGTCAAGGAACCCGAAGCCGGCAGCGTAAGCATCGCACATGTAAGTATCGTAGCCAGGTACCACCGCCAAGTCCTCTACAAAATAATTCTTGGACCACAGCTCGCAGAAGCCTGTGTCCGACCTGTGAACGAAGGTGTGGCACTCCCCCGCGCTCGCGCATTCCGTGTTGCACTCAGTCAGGGATTTCCCCGTCAAGTAAACTGCCACGTCTGCGTGGCCGAGGAAGCCACGGTCGACAAAGCCCACGCATCCGCTGAAGTTCGAAGCTGTTGAGTGAGGGTCGGGTTCTGATGGTGTGCCCGTCGTCACATCGCCTGTGACAGGCGCCGCCTCGGGGTACGTGCAAACGCCAGCGCTGCAAGTGCCACCAACGCCGCTCCCCTGGCAGGGCGTTCCGTCGGGGACATTGTTGATGGGATGGCCATTCGCTAGCCAGCTGTTCAGACTGAGGCATGTGTCATCTCCAGCCTGGGTGCACTTGATCTTGCAGCCGTCCGCCTCGAGCCCGCAGAAGCTGTGAAACATGCTACTCTTTGCGCAGACGTGAGTGGTGACGCACACGCCCTCGTTGCAGTAGCCGTCTGATTCGGCCAGGGTGCACGGGGAGCCCACCTCCTCAAACATGCCCGCCGCGTTGCAGCAACCACCATGGCCGATGGCGCCATACGAGCACTGCATCGGCGGCCCGAGTCCACCGGCTCGCACCTGGCAGCCGCAGCATCCCGAGCAAGCCTGCGACCTGTCGCTGCACTCGCAAGTCTCACCCGGCTCCGTGATGCCGTTGCCGCAAACGGCCTGGAAAGTCGAGAAGCCCGAACAAGTGTTGACTTGGCTAGTGAGCTGAGTGCAGATGTCATTAAAGCGGAGGGGGTTGAATTGATATACGCCGTTTAAACTTCCGTCACCATAGTCCATGATGCCGCCCGTCTTTCCCTGGCCTTGTTCGAACGAGTGTTGGGCTCCGAAGTTGTGACCCATCTCATGCGCAAATATATGCCACGTTGGGTTTCCATAAGGGGCGTGGCTCAGCCAATTGGCTCCTACATTGTATCCCCAATCATAACACAACACCCCGATGTACGCCAGGCCGATGAGGCCTTCTCCACCGTTGTACGCCTGCTGATAGCAGTCGTCGAAAATGTGCCACACGCCCATGGTGGTGTCCGGAGCAGTAGGCTCCCATAACACCATCTGCCACAACTGAGCATTAAGGTCCATCGGACACGATGGGCCTTGGTCCCAGCCCGGGGCACCATCGTGGGTCGTCTGTATGACGAGACTCCCCAACTGCAGATTTATGTTTAACTGGGGCTCGTATGCCATATTCGCATTTTCGACCATGGCGTGGATCCAATCCTCTGCCTCTAGGTCGCTCTGGAAATTCTCCGCTATCCAGACGTTGGACGCGATCACTGCACCGAACTTGAAAGTGCGCATGGTCTCCTGTCCAGGATAGCAGTTTTCCCACTGGGTGATCGCACCAGGGTTCAGCGCATTCAGACTAGCCGACAAGCGCCTGTCCACGGCGGGCTCCTCCAGCGAGCTGTTCGGACGCAGGCTGCCGATGCCAAAGTCGGCGGACGGCTTGGCATCAGTGGGGTCGAAGCGCGTCACCTCGAGGGCGGCGCTGCCGTGCCGATGCCGAATATCGAAAGTAGTGGATCCCACCAGCACGGTACCCGTGAAGCTCTGTCCCACCGTGGTCAGCATCGCGTCGCGGCCGGGGCTCCTGAAAACGACGGGCTGGCCGAGGGCACGCTCCGTTTCCTTTCCGCCCTCGCCGTACACCACGACCTTGCCACCAGAGTGCGAGCTCGCCTTGCGGTACAGCTTGTACTTGAAGGTCCTGTTGTGCAACCGGAAGCCGAGCACCAGCACGCTGCCCGAGGGACGGTACCTCTCGCCTGGCACGACGCGCGCAGCCGCCTCCGAGAGAACGTCCCGCCCGTCCTCGTCCACGAGGCCGAAGTCCGTTACGACCTCGGCCAGCCGTCCGACTGCAGGCGTTCCCAGGCAGAGCCACGGCACCAGCTGCAAGAGGAATCGAGCCATCGCCTGCACCACGCGATTCAGGAAGCGGGCGCGGCCGTGGCGCTGACGTCTGTAGCTGTCAGGGCTCAGGCCCAGGCCCCACCTGAGCTTTCAGACATCCTTGAACCAGCAAGGCTTATTACGAAAGGGGGAGGAAGAGGCGGAGAAGGGACGAGGATATAGGAGAAGGGAAGAGGAAAAGGAAGGACATCTAGCATACACAGCCCCTGGCAAACCGGCAGCGAGACCACACTCGAAGAAGGAAAACGGTGAGGCCAAAGTCCCACGGGATAACATAGTCTGTGAACGTGGCACGGAAGGGCGAGAGCAGACTGAGGCGGGGCTGTGCCAACTGGTGGGCCGCTTAGCCGTGCGACCCCGCATAGCGACAGAACGACGCGCTGGTGTCCTCGCGGGTTTCGTCTGTCCACGCACAGGAGCGAGGACTGAATTCCCACAGCTGTGCGGTGACATACCATGCGGTGACACCGAAATCCCCGAAGACCTCACCGCACGTTCCCTGACCGCACGGTTTCGGGACCTTTGAGGCCCCGATCGACGGAAACATCCTCGGAGAGCGCCCCAAATCCCAAAACCGTGCGGTGACCCCGAATCACCACTGACTCACCACACGGTGTGGTCACCGCACCGTTTGACGGATCCCCGTGAGTGCAGCGCGCCCAGGGCCGACTGACCCTGTCTTTAGAGGGAGCAAAGCAAAACAGGAAACCACCCAAGACGTGAGGGCCATTTCACGCGCAAAGAAGTCACGCGGGGCGGCACCGACAGCGGCGGCGGCCCGTACGCGTGAGCCTGGCCTCCTGAAGCTTCAGGTAGCTCGTGGGGGCATGCTGGCGGTCCCGGGGGTCATTCTGGGCAAGAGGGCTCGAAATCTCAATCGAATTATCCATCTTGTGGCCGTTTTGGAAACCTGTTGGGCCGTCTTGGGGCCCTGTTGGGCCGTCTGCGGTGCTGGCCCTCTTGGGAGAGCGATCTTGGACAGTCTGGGAGCGCCGAAAGCCAGAAACAATGAAAACGTGATATCTTTCAAACACATATGAATGTGGGGTGTCTTGGGGGCCCCTTGCGCGCCCCAGCCCAGGTTCTTAGGACACCGCCTCCGCGTTGCCCCGGCATCGCCCGCCCCCGCACTGCGGCGCGCCCTTCGCGCGCAATCCTGGCGCGCACGTTGGCCCCCCGCGCGAAAAATCGCGCGCGCGCCCCGTCGGCGCCCTTCGCCAAAGCTCATGTTGCACGCCGAAGAAACATCGTCCTGGCCCTCCGCGCGCTTGCACTTTGTCGACTTGGACATTCCCTGGGCTGCCACTTCCGAGAAAATGAGCTACGCGCGGACCTTATCGGCCCCCCGGGCGCGCACTTCCGCGCAATCTGGGGATGCGACGCGGGCTGCGAAGTGATCCCTTGTTTTCTGAATGGCGGCTCCGCCCGGTAGGAATCTCAGCTGGACATCGCATCGACGCCCCCGAACGGCCCGCCCGAGCCGCTCGCGTTGACCTTCGTCGCTCTCGCTGCCGACGCGCGCGACCGCGAGTGCGCATCCAGGTGAACCGGGGAGTTCTCGCTCGCCGCGCTGATTTGAAATGGTCGGCCACTTCCACTGCGAAATGCCCTGAGCCGCCGCTCCCTTCTGCGTTTTCTTCGACGCCCCCGCGTCGCTGCCCCGCCCGCCCCCCCCCCCCATCGTGCTCCATGATTATATCTATACATCTATATATATATACAGATGTACACATGTGTGTATATATCAATATATATACACATATCTACGACAGGTATACTCAAAACCGCTTGCAACAAACGTGAATAAGTGCGCGCGCGCGTCGTCGCGCGCATACCGAAGTCTTCAGACACTTCAGGTGTCGCAAGGGCCTCGAAATCGAGCACCCCGTCAACATGTGACAAAAACATTGTTTCGTAACGCGAATGTTCAAACAAACAACTGCACTCGCGCTGTTGCAGATTCTGAAGAAACCTATCGCCGTTTCAACACTATCATCACATGCTACCAAACGCGCCTCTCGCGCGCATGTCGACATCGCTCGAACGCTGTTGCGCGCGTGCTGTCGCCAGAATCCCTTGCAATAGCCTCGACGGTGTGCACGCGCGCGCGTCGTAGCGCGCGCATGCGGGAATTCTTTAAACAGTCGTAGGTTCAGTAGGATTTCAAAATCGAGTGCCCTGAATATACATATATACATACATACATGCCGTTGCAACATCAGTTTTCAAACATGCCCGCGCTCTCGCTCCTGCGACGTATGTGTGTTGTGTCCTATTGATGTAGTAATCGTTGCTGCTGTTGTGTTGTTGCATCTTTTCAAAAAAAAATGTCTACACATCTGTGAAAATTCAACTTTGCGTGCCTCTCGCGCCGCATGTCAAAATCATTCGAATGTCCTTGCGATCGTCCTGGTGGGGCACGACGCGTGTCAAATCATATCATGCGGGCCATTCGCGCGTCGTCTCCGCACGCATGTCGAGCTTCTTTCCAATACCGTCATCACCGACTTGGAAACGCCGTCATCGCCGTCGGCGTGATCAACGTCGGCACCGTCATTGGCTTCGCCGTTTTCGCTGTCGACGCTGCTATGATGCCACACCCGTCCAAGTCGCCGACTCGCACGCAGGGATAACGTGCGTGCGGGAGAAGAATACACAGAAAGAGAGAGAGAGAAACAACACAACAAAGAAGAAGAGGGTAACGCAACAAACAAAACAGGAACAAATGACCGGGCGGAGAACAGGGGGGAAGAGGGGACACGAAACACGAGGACATCGATGGGGATGGAGAGTGAGAGGTGGGAGCATGAAGACGGGGAGGGGGATAAAGGATGGACAGAAACTGAAATGGGGGGGCCTGGGCTGGCTTTGGTATCTGTTGCCGTGACGTCTTCTGCAACCGAATCAAGCAAAGCAAAGAATGGGAGGCCGAGGAACAAGGAAGGGAGGGCCGGCACGGGAGGGGGGAGGGACCCGGGGAGGGAGAAAAAGAGAAAGAGAGAGAGAGAACAAAAAACAGGAAAGAGGTATGACATGGGAACGGAAGGAGGGAAGCGAGGGCGCGGTTGGTTGGGGGGGGGGAAATGGGACGGATGCCTCCGGAGGCCCACGCAGGACCAAACACGTCCGAAAACATCGATCCTTGATCCGCCGAAAGCACTTGAGCACCAGCGCCACGCCTGGGCAGGGCCATCGTGGGCCCCAGCATGGCGAGCACTCCCACACACACTGTTTGGTTTGCGACGGGCTGGGTGCCACAAGCGGTCAAGTAAAGGGCGGGACGCATCCGTGGCGAATTAAAGCACAGAGGGCAGGCGGGTGAGGGGCGAGGAGACGGACGACCGCGGAACGGCCCGAGAGCCCTCCGACCGAGTAGACATTCAGGACAAGCTGCATCATGTACCCCGGGGCACAGGCTTGCCCCTGGCCAGGCACGGAGGCGGGGCGCGGATGGGGAAGGGAAGCGGGGGCTGCAGACCGCAGGGGGAGGGTGCACCACGCGGCGGCGGCGGCGGGCGGGTCCGCGCGCCTTCGGCTTCGGAGTCGCCGCGGGCGACGAGGGGAGAGCAGCAGCTGCCCGTGGCGCCGTCCGTGTCGGGGGCCCAGCGGAAGCCGCGGGGGGAGCAGGTGCTGCGGGGCGGCCGTGGGCGGGGAGGAGCGGTGGAGGTTCGAGGATCGAGGATCGAGGTTTCAACGTTTTCCATATCGTTTGGGCATCCGGGAAGCTTCGCGTCGCCACGGAGGGCGGGGAGATGCGGCAAGATGGCCCAGCATCGAGATCGGGAAAGCGGATCGAATAGAAAAGTACATCAGATCGGCCCCCATCGGCTCGAGGTCGGAATCGCATCGAATCAGCCGCGCCAGGATGCATAGCAACGCCATGCAAATATTGGGCCGCGTCGCATCGTGGGAATATCAGAATCGGATCGGACCGATCCGGCCGGAGCCGATACCAAACCAGACCGATCGGATCAAACTTGGCCCTGGGCAGTGGAGGCTCAAGGATGGAGGATCGGAATGTTTGGTATGTATTCGCATCGTTTGGGCCTCCAGGAGGCTCCTTGTCGCCACGGGCGGTTCCCCTCGAAATTCAAGCCTGGACGCACCCCAGAAGAGGTCTGGGCGTGGACTTTCAGGGCGGCAGAGGGTGAAATAATAATAATATTAATAATAATAATAAGAATAAGAATAAACATAAGGATACTCATAATAATAAGACGATCAATAACAAGACGAAAGAAGCTTCAAGATAAACGGCCATTACCGTTGCGAATACCGGCCAACCAATACAAGCCCACTGGACTGCGCCAAACGTACTGGACGACACCGTACTGGCTACGACCACCATGCCGGACGATGTCGTACCGACCGTGTCGACCGTACCGGACGACACCGTACCTGCAACGTCTACTGCACCAGACAATACCGCACCGTGCTGCACAATGAAGCCCAAGCAGGATCAAGCCTCCTCCTCCTCCTCCTCCTCCTCCTCCTCCTCCTCCTCCACCTCCTCCTCCTCCTCCTCCTCCTCCTCCTCCTCCTCCTCCTCCTCCCTTCTTTCTGCCCCCGAAATGCCGGGCCATGGGGGGCCCTGGGAAGCCCTGGGGGGTACTGAGGGAATCCTGCGGAGCCTTTGGGAAGCCCTGGGGGGTCCCTGAAGAGCACTGGGGAAACCAGGGGGGTACTGGGGGGCCCTGGGAGGCCTGAGGGGACCCTGGAAAGCCCTGGGGTGTCCTGGGGGGTACTGGGGTGGCCCTGGGGCCCTGGAGGGCCCGTGGGTGCCCTGGGGTGTTCTGTAGGGCTCTGGTGTGCCCTGGGGTGCCCCGGGGTCCCTTGGGGGGTACTTGGGGGGTACCGGGGGGGGTGCTGCGGAGCCTGGGGGGTCGTGGGACCCTTGGGGAGTGCTGAAGGAAAACGAAAGGGCACTGGGTGGCCGTAGGGAGCCCTGGCCTTGAGGATCCCTGGGGGGCCCTGGGGGGGACATGGGGAAGCTAAGTTTTCTCTGACAAATGATTGCGCAGAGGTCAGTGACCTTCCCATCGAAGAAATACGATTAGCTATTAGGGGTCACGCATGCCACAGGTTGTACCCTATGGACGGCATCACGCAGCGAAGGCGTACCGAATTCCGCCAGCCCTCTGGGCGGAGGTGGTCTAGAGCGCTTCCGTTTCCAACCTCCCTGATATACCTCCCCCCCCCTCCTTGGGTCTGGACAGCGGGGGGCCGAGGGGTTAGAGGGTCCTGTTTGGCCCAAGATGGCTCCAAGAGGGCCTCAGAGAGCGCAAGATGGCCTCCAAGATGGCCCAAGGTAGCTCAAGATGGCTCAAGGTAGCCTCCAACCCGCATCCAAGAGACCTCAAGACTGCCCCAAGACGGATCCAAGTGCCTTTCGAGCCTTCAACGGCACCCTCCGAGATGCCAACGTCCTTCAAAAGCCTAGGGAAAATCAATGTTTCAGGCATGCTCGCCTTTCGCTTTCCGATGGGCGTTGGAAGCCTCAGCATGGCACCATGATGGCCCCAGAAGGCCCCAAGAGGGGCCTAAAAAGGCCCAAGACGGCTCCAAGATCGCCCAAGAGGCGCCCAAGAGCGCTCCAAGACGGCCCCAAGACACCGTTTGAGAGCCTCCGAAGGGGCGATGCTCGTTCAGGAACCTCTTCTGTTTGAGTCATGGGGCCCAAGATGGCCCCAAGAGGCCTCCCAGCCTCTCCCAAAGACCCTCCACCCCGCCCTTTTTGGCCCAAAATGGCTCCAAGAGAACCCTAGATAGCCCAAGATGGCCTTCAACATGGCCTAAGATAGCCAAGCATGGCTCAGTATAGCCTCCGACAGACCTCCAAGAGGCCTCAAGGCATCCTCACGATGGCCCAAGATAGCCGAGCGTGGCTCAAGATAGCCTCCGACAGCCTCTAACCGAGCATGGGTCAAGATAGCCTCCAAGAGGCCGCAAGAAAACTGGCAATCAATTATGGTTGGGCTGATGGGCTTGTGGGTTCTCCCCATCTTCTTGAACACTTAAGGACCCCCGTTTTTTTTTTTTGTTTAGCGAAATGGTCAGAGACGGCCCCGGGAGCTCCAAGAAGACCCCCCGACCCCCCGAAAGAGCCCCAAAGAGGGCCCCACCAAAACCCGGAGGAAACCTCAGGAGAGCCCCAAGAAAGAGCCCCAGGAGGCCCCAAGAGGGGCCCAAAATAATCCCAACAGGGACCCAAAATGCCTCCAAGTTTCGGAACGCACGCAAGTTTAAGATACAAATCAGTGCACCAGCCAATACGAGTCATCGAAACACCCCTCACCCCTCCTCGAAGCACCATCGTAGCTTGCACCGATTTCCATCTTAAACTTCAATGCGGGAAGTTATGCGACTGCGCGACTGCATGCGTCCTGCCGCCCCTGATTCACCAACTCCCCTGCTGATCGCTTCTGGATGGGCTGGTGGGGACATTTTTCTGTCGCGGCCGCGGGCGAAAGCGCACACGGCGTGTCGTACTGGTGGGGATTTTTTTGGGGGGGGTCGGCGGCTCCGAAGCAACGGACAGGGAGCGGAAGCGGCGTCTGGGTCACGGTACGTGGCTAATTCGCAAAGAATGCGTGGTGTACGCATGCACAGAGCAAGCTGCTCCACATTAAGGCGAACGCACCTGGGCGCCAGCCACACCGAAGTGAAGCAGACCGCAGTGCAGTGCAACGGAGAAGTCGCCCTGCCGGCGCCAAGCTCCGAGCAGCTCTCCTAGCCGAGCGGGCAGGTAGAACCGAAGCGACACGCTAAAGGCTGAACCACTCAGCGCGAAGTCCGTACCACCGCCGTACGCGGGGTCGGCTAAGACAGGGGCAAAGGAACGGCGGGGACCTACAGAACTCTCACTCCACGATCCACACAGCTGCCCGGGGGGGGCCGGTGTGTCAGCCATCGTTTCCGAAACCGGTGACAGGCCAGGAAGCAACGATGTAAGAGGACACGCAGGCCCAAACGCCAGCGCACTGCCGCCCAGCGGGTAACGGCCGAAGGTCGCCGAGGTACGCTGCAGCCGCGGCCAGCACATAGGCGCTGGGGCGCAGTCAGGGCTGAATCTCACCACAGAGAGAGCAGGGGAGCGGCAAGTGCCAACAGACCACCCACTCCACGGACCGCACCGCTGCCCGGGGGGGGGCTGGTGTGTCGTTCATCGTATCCGAAACCAGTGACTGGCCAGAGCTGCAACGATGAGAGAGGACACGCTGGCCCAAGGGCCGGTAAGTACCTACAGAGCACTCACTCCACGGACCGCACCGCTGCCCGGGGGGGGGGGCGGTGTGTCGGTCATCGTTGCCGAAACCAGTGACTGGCCGGGGCTGCAACGATGAGAGAGGAACTGGTGGGGATATTTTTTTGGTCGGCGGCTCCGAGGCAGCGGTCAGGGAGCGGAAGGCGTCGTCTGGGCCAGCAGGCGAGGCCAATTAGCTACAGCAGGCAGCGCACCCGCAGTAATAATTCGCAAAGAATGCGAGGTGCGCACACGCACTGCGCAAAATGCTCCGCATTAGGGCGAACGCACCTAGGCGCCAGCCACACCGAAGTGAAGCAGACAGCAGTGCAGTGCAACGGAAAAGTCGCCCTGTCGGCGCCAAGCTCCGAGCAGCCCACCTAGCCGAAAGCGGGCAGGTAGAAAGCGACACGCTGAAGGCTGAACCACTCAGCGCGAAGTCCGTACCACCGCCGTACGCGGGGACGACTGGTGGGGATACGCGAAGCGTCAGGAATTGAATCTACCACCCCATGAAGTTGCACCTCATAGAACAGCACCCCCACGACGACTAATACAGTACCTGTGCCCCGTAGGCTGCAGTAGTTAAATACCTTGCTGCCCATAAGTTACACCTTACAGGTTGCAATCCTTCTGCTGAACCCCAGACGTTGCACCCCATGGGTTGCGCCCCCATACCCCTATACATTGGCCCCTTGTAGTTGCTCTATGTAGCTTGCATCCCCCAACGCCAGAATTCGTCGATCCCCCCCTTGGAGTCGCTGGCGTTGGAACTGTCTGCCCGCTCGAACAGCCTTCTCCCCGGGGGGGGTGCTTCCCCGGATTGGAAATCCAAGATCGCCGGCAGGATATGGGCGTTCAAAATGGCTTAGCATGGCTCCAGAACGTCGCCAAGGCAGCCGAAGAAGCGGTTACCAAGAGAATGCAAGCAGCTCCGACGAGCCCCACGGGGGCCCAAGAACAGCCCCAGCAGAGGCCCCAACAGAAACCCTGGTCATTGCAAAAATACACATAGCTGCGCGCATATTTGGAATTCCACTCATTTGTTTTCCGGATTAGTACAGCCACGCCCAACATTCAAGAGGAACCCAACGACGTCCCAGGATGCCGCATACCCCTCTTAATCATTGTGCCCCCATTGCCCCCCCCCTCCCCCATCCTCACCTGCCCTGCTCCTCGTGCTCCTGCTCCTGCTCCTGTTCATTTTCCTACTCCTTCAGCTCCTCCTGCTCCTCATCTTCCTCCTCCGCCTTCTCCTCTCCCCTTCAGAGGCAAGGGACAAATCGCCTCCATTCTCCTCGTCATTCTCTCCATCGCCCCCTCTTCCTCCTTCTCCTCCTCGTCCTCCTCCTCTTCCTCCTGCTCCTCCTCATCCTCCTTGTCCTGGACCTCCTCCTCCTCCTCCTCCTCCCCCTCCTCCTCTCTTCCTCCTGCTCCCCCTCCTCCTGCTTCTCTTGCTCCTTTTCCTCCTCCTCCTCCTCCTCCTCCTCCTCCTCCTCCCCCCTTTTCCCCCCCTCATCTTACCCCCCTTTCGGACAAGGGGAGGGGGCGGCAGCGGGAGAGGGGGACAGGTCACCTCGTGCTTCTGCTCGCGGGGTCCGTGGAGTTCGCGGAGTTCTGCAGCGCCCCTCGGTCCTGGACTGGAGGAGCAGCAGCAGAAATAGGAGTGGACGGGAGAAAGGTCGGGGAAGGGGCTAACAGCTCGGCGTGGGATGACAGAACGTACTGTAGCATAAATTCATGCAGGATCCCTTGAATTGAAGTATGGTCGGCACTTCACTGCACAATGATATAATCCGCCAGCCCCCTGCGGGGGCGCGAGGCAGCGAAGGTGCGTGCGGTCTGCTGTCATGTGTTATGTGTTGTCATTTGTTGTTTGGCATTTTGTCTCCTGCCTCCTGTTCACTGTCTGCCAGGGGGCCCCGCCGCGACACCAAACAGCCAGCGGGGGGGTGAACCTCACATCCTGGCTGCTCCGGGCCTCCCCTGGATTCCTCTCGCTTCGCGGGGTGCACGTCCAGAGCACATACAGTCCAGTCGTTGCAGGGCCTCTTGGGAGCTTATTTGTGGCCTCTCGGAAGTGTCTTGGTGGCTTCTGGGAGGCTCCTCTGCTCAGGGCTTCTTTGGGGCCTCTTGGGGCCTCTTGGGGGCGTCTTGGGCCGTCTTGGGGCGCTCTTGCGGCGAGTGGCCCATGCGGAGGCTGGTCTGGGGGCCTCTCGAGGCCGTTTTGGAGCCTCTCGCGGCCGTAATCGCCGCCGTGGAAAAGTGCTCAAATGTGGAAGGTATGGACGTTGGTTGGCGTGACCTGCTCGGCTGCCGCGCGTGCGTGCCGCTCCGTCCTGCAATTCCCAGGGCTTCTGGTCGGCCTCATGGGGGGCTCTTGGGAGCCTCTTGAAAGCCTCGTGGGGGCTTCTTGTAGCGTCTTTGGAGCCGTTTTGGGGCCTCTTGGGGCTTCTTGTTGACGTCTTGCGCCGGCTTGGGGCGCTCTTGCGCCGTCTGGCCCCTTCGGAGGACATCTTGGAGGCATCTCGCGGCCGCCTAGGGCTCTCTTGGAATTCTCTTGGGCCTTCTTGGGGGCCCTTGGACCGTTTTGGGGGCCTCTTTTGGCCGTCTCGGGGCCCTCTTGAGCAATCATGGGGCCCTTTTGGGGGCCTCGCCGGCCGTCTTGAGGTCTTCTTGGAGGCAGCTTGGGCCGTCATGGTCCTCTGAGAGCCAAAAAAACGAGAACGCTAAAATCAGTCAAAAACCAAAGGGAAATCAATGATTTCGGCTCCTGGAAGCGCTCTTGCGAAGCCTCTTGGGGCCCCCTTGAGCCGTCTTGGGGGCCTCACGGGCCCTCTTGGGACCATCCAGGGCCGTCTTGGGGCTGTCTTGGGACCATCTTGGGCCATCTTGAGGCCCTCTTGGGGTCCCCAGAGGCCCAAATCGTCGATTTCTGCTTGTATTTTACAGGTTTGGAGAGCCCGAGAAAGGGGGGACACCACCTTGGTACACTCCTGGGGGATTTCGAGGGGGAGACATAATAGTGTAAAGCTACACTACATGTAGCAATTATTCAACGACTGAATACAACAGATACGGTGCATTATCGCCTCCGCAGAAAACGCTGCCGCTCAGCACATCACTTCCGGACGTGGATTCTCATGGCGACGCTGCCGCGCGGCCAGAACGGCCCGCTTTGCCTCCAAGATTGCCCGAAGTGGCTCCGAAGACAGCTTCAGAGGGCCAAGACGGACCAAGATGACCCCAAAATGTCTTACGATGACCCCAAAAACGTCCAGGATGCTCCCCCGACGGCCCAAGAGGCCCCCAAAAGGCCTCCCGAGAGGGCCCCACACAGCAAAAAACCAACGATCTCCATGACGTTGTTTGAAAGTTTTTGGCCTTCTCACATTTTCGTACTAGATCCCCAAAGCCGCCCCATAGACGCCCCCAGAAACCCCCAAGACGGCCGAAGAGGGCCCCAACAACGGCCCCAAGGCGGCCGAAGAGGGCCCCCAGACGGTCCAAAAGGCGCCCCAGACGGTCACAAAGGCCCTAAGACGGTCCCAAGAGAAACCCAAAAGGCAGCCCACGAACCGAAAACTTGACCTGTCTGCCCTGGAGAAGCCCCAAGAGGCCCTCAAGAGGCCCTCAAGAGGCCCTGAGGAGACTCCGAAGAGACCCCAAATATAGTTTCCAAGAGGCCCGAAGGTGTCAACATAACCCCCGTTATATCGAGCTACGTGTACGTTATCTTGTGTATTAGCACAGCTCAGCAGTTTCAGCATAGCAGGTGTGTTGCAAGCGCCACTTTATGTTCAAGGGGCCCTGAGTCAGTTAACGAATTGATGCGATTATCAAGATCATCACTTCTATCGAACACATCCCGAGGAGACTTCATGTGCTACCATCGGTTGATATTCGTAGAGGACCTGGCCGGAGACCCACTCTCTCCGGTTCCTCCGTCGCCGCCATGCCAGACGGCGCGCCGCGCACGCCGCCCCCCGCCAAGCCGCCGCCTGGCGGCCCGCCGGCAGCCTCGCCCGCCGCCCCCGCCGACACCAGCGCAGAGGGCAGCCGCATCCCGCCGAGCAGCGCGGATGGTGACGAGGCCAACTATGCAGATTGGAACGGCTGGCAAGGCTAGTGGAATCGCCAGGAGAGCTCCACCTGGGACGGAGGAGGAGGAGGCCTTGATGCAGGCCTGTCGAAGACGGCGCCGAGTTACGAGCTGCTGAAGACCGACGGTTATCGAGAATTTCGACGCAAGCTGGAGGTCTTCGAGCGCTGCTGCAAGAAACGCGGCACCACCGCTGTCAGTGAGGGAGCGTTTCTGGTCACGAATTCACTGCAAGGCGAGGCCGCGGAGGCTACGGAAGATATCGACCTGGACTTGCTAGGGGCAGAGGAGGCTTTCAAGCCATTGTTCCCGGTGCTGGACGAGTACTACAAGTGCGACGACCAGACTGAGCTGGCAGCCCGTGCGAAATCTCTTTTTGGGCAAATTCGCTCGCCAGGAGAAGGAGACAATGAAACCGTACTGCCTACGCCACAAGAGAGAGCTCAGGAAGCCCAAGGAGGTTGGGATGGACATCCCAGACATGCTGGCGGGCTGGCACCTCCTCACACGAGCGGTCATGCCCACATCGGGCGCCGCCCGGGCTCGGAGTCAGTGCGTAGACGGCCTCTGCTGGACTCAGGTGAAAAAGCCCGACTCGACGCGTATGGAGCCGAGGCCATGCCCGACACGCAACATGCTAAACGAGTGGAGAAGATGCTGGTCGGTCAGAGCTTGAAGGACGATGTGGGCTACACGAACGATTACGACTGGGAGCGAGGCCGGAGCAACGAAGACTCGCGCCTGGAGGAAGAAAACGATGACGACGAGGAGTACGACTACGAGGAAAACGGGGGGGAGGCAGCAGTCGCGGAGGAGCTACCGCAAGAGATCGAGGAGGCCTAAATGGCGCGCGACGAGGTCTACTTCAGCTTCGCGGATGCGAAGAAACGTGTGGCGGAGATCGCCAAGTCGAGAGGATTCTACCCAATCGTCGCCCTCGCCCCCGAGAACAACTGCCAGCGCGACGGCCGCGCAGGACCCACGAGAGCGACGAGGCCCGGCACGGGCAAAGGCAAAGGACGCGGCGAAGGCAAGACGTGGCGAAGGCAAAGGCAACACGTGGCGAAGGCAAAGGACGCGGCAAAGGATTCGGCCCACCACGACGAGATGCGCTCAGGCCTCAGAAGGGAACGTTTGCAAAGGTGCTCCATCATCAGCGGGGTCGACAGGGTCGGGTGCGATCCAGCAGCGCGGCCCGAGGTTCAAGCGCTTCAGGCACAGAGGCTTCACCAAGCCCGACGATGAGGAACGTATGGTGAAGGATGTTGAGACGTTGGGGCATGCTAGCTCGACCGAGGAAGCCTTCCTGCTTACCATGGAGGCGCTACACGACCCGTCACGGGCGACAATGCGCGGGCGCAGTGGGAGGAGCTCATACGTGCGAGCCCAACCCAAGCGGGGGACCAGCCGAATCCGAATGAGGCCCGAGCCGGATCCGAGTGGGGCCCAAGTGGGGCCCAGCCGAATCCAAGTGGGGCCCGAGCCAAATTCAAGTGGGGCACGAACCAAATCCAAGTGGGGCCCAAATGGGGCCCGAGAAAAATCCAAGTGGGACCCGTGCCGGATCCAAATGGGGCCCACGTCGGGCCCGAGCCCAACCCAAGCGGGGCCCGGCCGAATCCAGGTGGGGCCCAGGTGGGGCCCGAGCCCAACCCAAGCGGGGCCCGAGCCGAATCCAGAATCCAAGCGGGGCCCAAGTGGGCGCCCACACGACCCCAGGAAAGCGTCAAGTTCAAGGCATTGCCCCAGGGTCTGGCCAGCGCCAGCGGTTTCTTGAGCCGCGTGTCTAGGGTAAGAAATCTCGAGACTCTGGCTGCAAAGCCGCGTTGTCTTAAGCATCCAGCGCGGTGCGCAGCATGAGTGATCGACGCTTCCGACTCGGAGATGGCAAGACGCTGGAGGCCAGATGCGCGGCGACATCGACGTCGTGGCCGTTCGTCGCCAAGAACAGATCGCGATCCATCTCGTCGACGGCTGGGCGCCGCGGGTTGAGACTGGATAGCAATGCTGGGAACCACAACGAACTGAAAACCCCTCTCTTGATCGATCGCTGCGTCGATAATGTGCATCCAGCCTGGAGCAACGATGGCGAACGGGACAATCTCTTCAGCCGTTGGACTCGAACGGGGTTCGAGAAGCCAACGTGGGAACAACACATCAAAATGTCAAGTGCTGAACGCAGGAACCTCTCCGCGCCAAAGTCCGCCGCGACTCGTGCGATGGGCCAACGATCAAGGTGATATTCCACAACATCGCATACGTTCGCCAATGAGGTCGAGCTGTCGGTTGCCGATGCGCAACGCAAGAAACATCACCCGTGGGCATGTACTCCCCTGCGTCGTGCGCAATCAAATCCATGGCCGATGCCATCATCTCTACTCCACGCCATTGCGGGCAACCGTCGGTGAACAAATACGCGTGCGACTGCCGCAACTCGGACCCCAAATGCATTCGGAAAAGAATCATGCGCGCGCAATATGATCGAATCCGCGCCAGTTGAAAACCGACCGGTTTCATCAATCAGCCTCACCTG